AAAAACTTTGTAGTATGAGCACACACATGGCTGTACATTTAAAATGAGTGAGACATGTTCATAGGTTGAAGGGAAAAATTTAGAAAGGTATTGGTTTTCTCGAGGAAATGGGAAAGGACCGGGTCTGGAACCACAAATGAAACAGCAAATCTTATAGGAATAGACCTTTCCCAGCAAAAAAGTACCAGACCCAGAAGGTTTTTGTCAGGTAAAAGGGCCGAAGACCAAGACCAGACCAGGCCACAACAAGCCTTTATTAGGGGAGTAGATCTGCCGGGCTGTCTCTGAACAAAGGAGAGACAAAAGCAATATGGTCGGGGCAGGGAGAGTCTTTTATAGAGACTGGGGTGGGGTTTGTAGGGGCTGAGGTGGGGTTGAGTGAGGTAGTGACTAGGGAATGGAGGAGCCGGTGATGTCCCTAGGTGGTAGGAGGTGAGCGTATTGGGTTACTCTCTAGGCAGGAACAGGGGCATGCTGGGAAGAAGGGTTTGTTCTTTGGTGGGAGCAACCATCTTGGCATGATGTCACACAGGGGAGGGGGCAAGGCACGATAGGAAGAGGGCAGCTACTATACATAATAGCTGCTGAGGTGGTGGGAGACCTGTCAGTTTTACCTTTGAATTCTTTAAAACTTCAACCCCCAGATAACTATTTCAAAACGTAGAGAAGAATCCTGGTTCTTTTTTGCAAAGCCAGGGTACATGATAACAAAATACAGTAGAAGATACAGATGAGCTTCTCACAAAAGTTGTTGCAAAAAATGATTAATAACATTACCAAATAGAACCTAGCATTACATTAACAATAATACTGTGACCAAGTGGGATTCATTCTAAGAATGTGCTCACATTAATTCATACTAGTTAGTGGAAGGGAGGTATGACTATTTTGAGGGATACCAAAAAGGGCAAGGGTAGGATTTCACCATTTATTTATACCAAGAATTCTTAGTAAAACAAAAATAAAGAGATACTCCAAAGATTTCATCATCTTGTATCAGAAGCCAGGATTTTCTTACTAGAAATGGTAAAATGCTAAAATTCCTATTTTAATTTTAGTAACATGTTGAACTTCTATTAAAAAGTCATGAATCAGGGCCAGGATATAGCTCAGTGGCACCATGCCTACCTGGCAAGCACAAGGTCCTGAGTTCGATCCCCAGTACCAGAATCAAAAAAGATCTGGCCTAGGTAAGTTAATTAGATATATTGTAGGCAATTAGGGCCAACCCATGAGGAGCCAACATGGAGGACAGTGAAGACACATTCACCAAAGGCCAGCATTGTAAAAGGAGAGAATCTACCACACCCATGTAGGATGAATAGCAGTGATTAATATTCTAAATAGGTATCAGTCGCCTGGGTGGGGGACAAAGATCTTCCAAAAAAGATCCCTGACCCACTTGCTATGTGACTTGTTTCCTCATTGGATCCCCATTTAATCAGTATTACCTGGGTGACTGTACTTGTAATCTTATTGGTTGGTCATGGTTTTGCACCCCC